ACATGTGACGTGACTTACAAACTGAAAGATTGTAAATAACACAGTTTAGTAAAGTATCACAATGGTATCATAAAAGAAAGGAATAGAAGTACACATTCACACTATGTGACATGACTTACATTCATTGTCTTTATAAAAATGATGGCAGCAAATGATGGCAGAACAACTTAGGCCTACTTCTGCAAACCAGCCCCACCCAAGCATCGGTGCATCGCCTATCGGAGCATAGCATCCGGATAATCTCCGTAGATCTTCTAATTAGATCTATTCTATTCCGACCAATGGAGGCGTGGTCGAATCACTGGAATGGATCAGCTATGGATCAGCTATGAAGCAAAGAACTAGCTATGATTGTCAGCCAGCTTTTACATACTACTGTCCCTCTCCTATTTCTAGCAGGGACTGCCTTCTCCCTCTCCCTCCCTCCCTCTCTCTCCTTCCTCTCTTCTCCATTTTCCAGTCAAACTGAGCTCTGGACCTATGCCGCCCTCTCCTCCACCCTCCTGGTCAGTGCAGCCCCGTTCTTCATACTCTTCTTCATTCCTATCAACAGTGCCTCCGAACACTCTGACTTCCTCAAAGTCCTCCTTAGTTTTGCCTCAGGGGGTCTTCTAGGTGACGCTTTTCTACACCTCATGCCGCCAGGTTGCATCACCACGAAGACCGTCATCATCATGGCAACCATCCGGCACCACGGGGGGGGGCACGACCATACGCAGGAGATGATGGTTGGGTTGTGGGTACTGGCTGGTATCATTGCTTTCCTGATTGTGGAGAAGTTTGTGAGGACGGTGAAAGGAGGAGGACATCAGTATGTCCATTTTAATAGCGAGGTTGAGGAGAGAGAGACGTTATAGGGAAGTGGCCGGGTGGAGTCAAGTCATAGAGACTAAAAACGGTCCACTTTCTGACGAGGGAAACAAGGAAGGACTGAGACAAAGAGGAGGAGGAGGAATAATGGCAAAGAAAGAGAAAGAGGAAAAGAAGAGAAAAGGTAAATAATGGAATTTGAAACAGCTGGTGGTTGTCATGGGTAGCCTATCCTTTGCTCTAACTATTCCAAACACAAAACATTTGATCTGTTTCTCTATTTGATCTATGACATATGGTCTCTCTCAAAGAAATTATTGTCTTTTCCCCCATTTTCCATTCTTGCCTGAAAAGAGAGCAAGTTTTTATTTATAATATTCAAATTACATACATGCACATGTACATTGTAAGGATGAATCCTTATCGTATGTTTTCCAGTTTTTTGTTCCAAATTCAACTGAGGGATATGCATGTAGTGTAGTAGTAGAGATCTAGAGAGACCCTCTCCTCCCCCTCCCTCTCTCTCTTTTTCTCCCTCCCCCCCTCTCTCTCCCCCTCCCTCTCTTAGAATGGCTCTAGTCTCATTTGCTCTTCCAATGCTAGATACTGCAAAGCCAAAAACTTTTATTTGGACTTGAGAAGATTTGATGAGTTCGCCACAAGACAAGGCGACACTTACAGGAGGTACGCACTGAATGCAAAACACTTCATTACTTTAGACAAAATATCTCTTTATAGCTTTAGAGAGAATATCTTTGAGCCAGGAGAGGTTGGGGGACACTGTAGACTGGACAAGCCGTTGCTAAGAGAACAGGGCGGGCATAAGTCTCCATTACAGTCCTGGTATGCCGAACTGGAGGAGTATAACGGCTTTGATTCTGACCCTTTTGAAACTGGAGGGTGTGATCTTATTATTGATAAACCGAGCGTGTTTATTAAGCTTGATGCTGGTATGAATTTATGCATGTATGTACATGTACATGTACATGTACTTTTATATGGACATGTATATATGTATGTATGTACATGTACATCAGTAAATGTACATGTACATATTATGTATGTCCTCATTACTTTTGAAGGTATTTGTTACATGTAGCACTATTATATGTCAATATTATGATATTCTTCTTACTCCGTCTCACTTTGATCTATACCTCTCTCTCTCTCTCTTTCTAAAGGTATTAATCTTTATCATCATTATTGTGATTTTTTCAA